AACTTTTTACTCTTTTGTTTGTTTGTAAGAACAGTCACACTGAGAAACTTAAAGCAGTGCTCCTGACAACTGCAGTTTATCTTAGGGAAGATCCTTAGGGACAGGTGAAGATCGCACGTGTTGCTGTGTCACATCTGTCGGGTTGAGTACCCGGGTGACGGATGTGAATGTCTAAGCACGGCTGCTGCTCATGCCTGGGTGGAAGCGAATGGGTGGATTGCTGCCTTGTTGCTTGAAGAATCAACAGTGTGCTGGCTGCGAGAGAGAGAGAGAGATGCACCGGCCTCTTCCGCAGTGGAGCTGCACCACGAGCTGGTGGCAGGCCCAGCTGCCTCATCGTCAAGAACTGGCAAGGTCTTGCAATGCACTGGGTGCTTCACACTGCGTGGTCCGGCAGCCTGGGTCTGGGGATGAGGAACGTGAGTCAGCGTCCAGCACCAGTGGATCTCACCATGGCAGCCACATGCTCAGAGATACCGTTGGGGCTCCTTCATGTAGTGAAAGCTTTGTCCAGGCCCCACCCAGTCTCTTATGTCACATTTTGTTGCTTGAGGGCCAAAGGATTTGGCCCAGGATAAGCTTTACCTTCTGTGTTTGGCTGTGGGGAGGCGGCCAGGACCCCCAGGCTCGTGCTCTCCTGGGGCTGCTGGGGTTTTGGTGTGTGCTGAGACCCCAGGCCCTCTCGGCAGCAGCTCCAGGCTGTGATCGCTGCGGTGAGATGCGAGGCGATGCGATGCTCTCTGAGAAGTGGCAAACTGCAGCTGGCCTCCATGAGAGTACCCAGGCTTGGGTTTCTTGCAGTTCTGGTATCCACCACCAAAGCTACTGTTTTTCTAAAACTTCCCCTCCCTGAATGTCAAGGTCACTCTTGGCTTGGGATTTAAGCAACTTCTTCCAACTGCGGTTCAAGCATGGGATGCAGATTTTTTTTATTTTTTTTTTCCCCAAGTAATGTTAATATTAGCCTGCGAGCAAAGCATTTTTACTTACCTGGGCAGTTCTGAGCTGTACCCCAAAGTGCCTTTTGTGCTGTCACGTTGTGCGTGAAAAGCTTTCAGCCTTACAGGGTCTGTGGCACAGCTTCCGTGCTGTGACCTGCACTTAGGCGAGTCAGGTCTGCATCTATTTTGAGCAGCTGCTGCCTGTCCCTGGTGGTGGGAGAGGCGAGACGCTAGGGAAAGGGGCGTTTGGGGCCGACTGGCCTGGGAGGGGGTAGTGTTACCATACCGTGCTGAGGACAGAGTCCGACTGCCAAGCTAAAGCATCAGGATTTTGTAAAGTAACAGCCCGACAGCCACAGGCGAGTGGACGCGCGGCGTACGACCGAGCTGCTACAAAGGTTAATGGTGCCCTGACTTAGGGGAGCTTAGTTCTCAAAGGCAGAGCAACAGAGGCCCTCCTGCAGTGTCCTGTAGCTTTAAATATTTGAACTGTATTAATATTCTCGACTTTACAGCTGACAATGTGACTGTTTTTTGAGATGTCAGAGGCTGAAAACAATAGAAACGTTGAGTGTTTGACTTTCAAAGAGCCCTCCTTTAGGCAGAACCAACAGTGAGATTTTAGTGCAGCTTATGAAAAACAGGCACCAGAAGATCACTCAGCTAAGCATTACACAATCCAACTGACACAGCTCGAATGGATAAAGTTGGTAAAACCAGGATTTACAATGTCATAGGCTGGCTGGAACTAGCTGGCTCCTGTAAGCCATAAGGTGTGTCGTCCTTGTTGTCAGTAAAGCTGGAGTTTGGTCGAAAAAACTGCAGAAAGTTCAAAAGCCTGTTAACATGAAACTCTTCTGAAATGCAGCACATTTAATCTGTGCTGCCCGCCTGACACTGAGCCCGCAGCGGTTCCCGTCACAGCCGAGGGCGGCTCGGTGACCAGCGCCGCGACTGCCAGGGACCTGCCCAGAGGCTGGGGCTGCGCTGGCATCCCAGGCACCCCTCAGGGACGGCAGCACCGGCCTCTGCTGAGCTGCTGCCAGATCAGGCACCAACCGTCATCTTTGATGTCAGGATCTGCAAAATCATTGGAGCAAGGTTGGTTTTGACTGCATCTGGCCCTCACGTGAACTTGGCTTCGATGCCGTCGCCACCTGTAAAGGGTTAGTGAATTGCATTGGTGTTCAGATGCCAGAACTGTCCTTTTCATTATTTCCTTGCTGTTGATTGTTGGTCCATCAGGACTACGAGTCCTGCAAACCATCCGTTGCTACCTTGGGCTTCTGGCACCAATCTCCAACAAGTTGAGATTTTAAGAATGTCCTGAATTTGAAAAT